CTATCCCACTCTGATTCTTCAACCACAAGGTATAATGAGGCTCAGAAGCTGCAAACTATATTTGACCTTTAAAAGGAAGCAAAGAATTAAATCAAACTAAATGTTGTTTCTGTTCAATGAATCTTTACATACTATATAATACTTTTGAGAATGAAATTTTGAAGAATGAACTTTAACTCGGCTGGCAGTTGCAATAAATGCTGGTGCATTATATTAAATAATAGACAGCATTGTTAAATCAGGCCATATCATTCTAATTGTTATAACCCAAAGTATTCACCAAGAGGTATATGGGGCAATACCTCAAACAAACATTCTTTCTATTACTACCTTTACACATACACACACCCTACTTTCAGGGTGTTTATAGAATTTAGGGTGGCATTCAATAAAGTTTTACACAGATTAGATTCACTGAAATCAAGGAACATGACTAAGTTAGGTCCATTAATTTCAATAGGTCTACTCTAAGTAAACGTTAATTGAAGTGTTTTCATGTTAAAGACCATAGTGGTCTAATATGTTGACCTCTGGTTTGTATATTGATTTCTATATATTATGAGGTTAGAGAAGGCTCCATCAAGGATGGGTCCAGAGAAGAGCAGGGCTCTATCAAGGATGCTTGCTATACTGTCTGGGCTTCTCTGTGTATATGTTTGCTGGATAAAGGAGCCACAGTTCAATAGTGGTACAAATGTTTTCCATATATAAAGTGCCGTGGATTTTAACGAAAGGATCTTTGGGCCTAGGGAAAATATTTGGCTGAGACACTTCAGACACAACCGTATCACTAAAATAGACTATAATGGTACTGCACTAGATGGAGCAATGATTTGACTGCTTATAGCTGCATATTCAAGTATAGCCACAGACAGGTTACTAACTAACTGACCTGCCTCCCATTAACTTTAACAGGCCAGGCATCAAGCCACTTCAGCCTTCATGCGGACTCTGAACAAGAATTGCATTCCAGGCCATTTCATTGCATGTTTCTCCTAATATACAAAGGTCTGTATTTAATATGCACATTTTTGTAAGCAATTTTCTATGCTATAGTCATACTATAGTGGATTGTTATATCTTATCTTCACCAAGATGTGCATTTTAATGCACCCTTTCCCCTAAATTTATTTTTTCCCCTCTCCCACACATTTTGTATTGGAGAGCTTTACTGCAAAATTCAGAAACTGAAAATTTCAAAAGATAGCTGTGGTTTGGCAATTGCATATTAGGTAGGTTCATCTTAAGATGCGAGCCAGATCAAATTTCTCCCTTATCTCTAGCTGTTGTCTTGGAATTATATCGAAACATGCTTCCCCCTATCTCTTAGAAAGTTTTTCCTGCTGTTAATCTTGCCAGTGTACTTACTTGGATAACATTAGCACACTTCATGCATTATTCACATAAAGGTGACAACACAGATACAAGGAAAAGTGGCGCTGCACATTCAGCCCCGCTGAGTCTATGTGGCTCTTTCTAGCCAAAGACTTTTTTTTTTTAACCACGAAGGACTCAAAATCATGCAGGTTCCCTCCAAGAATAGAAAAGGCTTCTCACTTTTGAAGTTATTTTCTCAACACAAATAGGGCCACAATGAACTATGTGGAAAAGACTCTCTTGAGAAGTTGTGGATTCTGCTCCATTGGAGGTTGTAAAGCAGAGATTGGATATGAAAAAATGGACTATTAATAGGTAAAAATCTAATGTTACAATACTTTAAGATTGAAGATTAGGATAAGCAAAGAGGGGAGGGATTTGCTGAACTAACAAACTGAATTGGAATACAGAAAAGGGAGGCGTGAGGAAGTCCGTGAAATAAGCAAATGAAAGATAAGTGATTGAAAGACTGAATTGTTTTTAACTATTTTTATTTTGTATCTTTCTTTTTTCTTTTTTTCTTTTGTAATATTTTGAAAATCTTAATAAATATCTTTTTAAAAAAAATAAAGCAGAGATTGGATAGTCATCTGTCATGGATGCTTCGGTTGAGATTCTGGCACTGCAAGGGCTGGACAGGAAGACCCTCGGGCCCCTTCTAACTCCACAGTTCTGTGATTCTGTGACTACTAGGAATGGGGGAGGAATTCTATTCAATTCACATTTAAAGGCTAACCTACCAAATTGGAACATTCTGGAACATTATACAAACCAAAACACAGCCAACCTTCAAAAGTCATGCATCTCTGAACTCTGTAATACAGTTCTCCAGCAAGTAATGTTTACAGAAACACACATCCTGGAGCAAAGTGTCCATAGAAATGCATATATTAATGAAACTGTCAATCAGAAATGCATTATATTAGGGGGAAATGCCCAGGACAAATGTGTATATTTTGGAGAAATTTGCACTAAAATGCTGGTTAATGTTAAATGAGGACTGGCTCAAAGTAAGCTTCATGGCTGAGTGGAGAATTGAACCCTGGTTTCCCACGTCCAAGTTCAACACTGTAGCCACACTGACTCTTCACTAAGTAAAGCATGAAAAAGGATATTGTTTTACTGAAATGGAAATAAGTTCAAGTAAAATACAGTTATGCAGATTTGTTTGTTTTAATGATGTTTACACTCTCCATGCTAATAGAAAAGAAAATGCAGTTAGTGCACAAGTGAATAAATCAACTACTTGTAAAATAAACCCAGAGATTTTGTTTCTCCTCTCCCAATTACAATTTCAGTTCAAAGTATGATAAGTATAGCAGCATGCTAACACGGATGGGTGCACCACTTTTGTAATCAGCAATGAAACCAAAATGAGATAAGATGGTTCAGGTTTAAATACTCTACCTCCTGAAATAAAAACGAAATGAAATTATGGCACAATAGTTTTCACTTTAAATAATTCTGAAGAATTGATCATATCAAGGAGATGAAGCATGTAACATTAGTCCAAGCAAACAACTGTCTCCTAAGCATTATGTAATTGCTGAAGCTTACTCACATGGCTAGTTCCATTATTTCAGTAATTTACAGAAAAGTACAGAATCAGTGGTGCTGAATTAAAGCATAGATCTATGAATCTGCATATCATCCCTCCTGATAGTCATGTTTTCATCAATTATAGAACTAAGAATTAAGCTAGAGATGCTTAAATAGATGATTGGTTTCTTCTGGACATGACATAAATCTATAGGAGTGGATCATAGTGTTTCATGCCACCCCAATCTCTGAGCAGTGCAAAATCCCAGGGGTTCACTTTCCTCGAATTGAGGGCTAGCAGAGACTGTGGTGTCTGTGTGACATATGGTTTATTTACACATATATATTAATTTCCCAAGAGGGTCACAGCCTTAGATTCAAGGAGAAATCAGGCATGGCTCTATCTCAGAGGCTTCACCTGCAGTCTGCATCCAGCTTCTACCTCACACACTCAACTCTGGCTTTTTTCTTTCTAACTACTAGCAAGTTGAGGGAGTGGGGGGCACCCCTTTGCCACCTCACACAGACGACTCTTCTTTCTTTAAAAGATAAAGGGACCCCTGACCATTAGGTCCAGTCGTGACCAACTCTGGGGTTGCGGCACTCATCTCGCTTTATTGGCCGACGGAGCCGGCGTACAGCTTCCGGGTCATGTGGCCAGCATGACGAAGCCACTTCTGGCGAACCAGAGCAGCACACGGAAACGCCGTTTACCTTCCCGCCGGAGCAGTACCTATTTATTTACTTGCACTTTGACGTGCTTCTTTCTTTACTTCTATTCAAAAAGGATCTTGGGTAGCAGTTCTCTGTTTGAGACATTGCGGAGGTGCCCCCAATTAGAGTACACAAAAATGGACTCAGACCTTTTATGAGATAACTTCGTTATTTGGAAAGGCACTTCTACCACATCTCTGTGAATTGTTTCATGTTATGAACTGCAGTCCCTGAGTCTGGCCTTCACGGAACAGGTTTACAATTTGTTTCATCTCTGAAATGATGGGCATATGGCATCCTCCTGCCCTCACAAGATCTGCATCGACTATTGCTGTCTGTTGATGGGTAGTAGTTCTTCAAAATGTCACACACCATATAACCATTACCGGAGGGGGGGGATCGTAGCCCCTAATACAGCACTAAAACAGCTGACTCCAGTTCACCACTCTAGAAGTGCTAAATGGGGAGCAATACTTTGGATCCTCTCTTAATTTAGGTTCCTGCTTCCTATCAAGGAAAAGCTGCATCTTCATGGTGAACTACATTTCATGGCATTTTATTAGCAAGGTCTCCTTGTATTCATTTTGTGTTAAATTACCGTATTTTTCGCTCTATAAGACGCACCAGACCACAAGACGCACTTAGTTTTTGGAGGAGGAAACAAGAAAAAAAAATTCTGAATCTCAGAAGCCAGAACAGCAAGAGGGATCGCTGTGCAGTGAAAGCAATCCCTCTTGCTGTTCTGGCTTCTGGGATAGCTGCGCAGCCTGCATTCGCTCCATAAGACGCACACACATTTCCCCTTACTTTTTAGGAGGAAAAAAGTGAGTCTTATAGAGCAAAAAATACAGTACTCCGTCTTCCGACCCTGCTCCTCCAACCACCACCTCATTTTATGTCAACGATTAATATACAGAAGGTACTCAGTCTGCTGATTTTATGCTGATATAGCAACAGCTTATGCACTATTTGTGTCTTGCTGTTTGTCACACCTCAGTAATTTTACTAAATGTTCCCGCCATTCTCTTATGTTGTAAAGAATGAGCAGGTTCCATCAATTTACAACCAAAATACTGAGCAGAAAGGCTTCTCATAAAACAGCACCAAAGTGGCGCCTGTAAAGATCACGCTCAAACAACGTAACTGCCAACCAGGGCCATGAAACAGATAACGTGTAAAGCAAGATTGATTCATGAAGCCTGATTTGAAACATATATCTGAGGAGTCTATTGAACAGAATAATTTGGAAGGAAATGACCAGAATGCATGCATGTGCCTAGAATGTATGCTTGCGCACAAGGTGAGCATCAGGAGGATTGAAAACAAGTGGGAGACTGCTGGGTATAAGAATGTGTTTGTTCCTCCCTCAGGCATGTAGCTGAGGGCTGCTTGTACAGAGGGATGAACTGAAGGGCAAGAACCAGAGGACGAGGACTAAAGTGGATCATTGCTGAGCTGATCAGTTTCCATCTTCTGCAAACAATGGCAGCATCCTTGCAGTTATTGACAGAAAGGTAATTATCACTAACCTCAGAACTTTGCAGTGCGTGTTCGTATTGCTCCAGGTGAGAAAGGAAGTGAAAAATCACTCCATTTGGGGTTTTTACCTTTGGTTGGATTGTTATTCAGCAGACATATCTTTCTGAACACGATTATTGTTTGTTAAATGTTTAAGCATTTTATTGAATTAAACACTGAGTTGGGTGGGTGATGAAGTGCATGCAAAGATAGTGTGATAGTTGAGAGTTTGTGTATAGAATCATAGAATCATAGAATCATAGAGTTGGAAGAGACCACAAGGGCCATCGAGTCCAACCCCCTGCCAAGCAGGAAACACCATCAGAGCACTCCTGACATATGGTTGTCAAGCCTCTGCTTAAAGACCTCCAAAGAAGGAGACTCCACCACACTCCTTGGCAGCAAATTCCACTGTCGAACAGCTCTTACTGTCAGGAAGTTCTTCCTAATGTTTAGGTGGAATCTTCTTTCTTGTAGTTTGGATCCATTGCTCCGTGTCCGCTTCTCTGGAGCAGCAGAAAACAACCTTTCTCCCTCCTCTATGTGACATCCTTTATATATTTGAACATGGCTATCATATCACCCCTTAACCTCCTCTTCTCCAGGCTAAACATCCCCAGCTCCCTTAGCCGTTCCTCATAAGGCATCGTTTCCAGGCCTTTGACCATTTTGGTTGCCCTCCTCTGACACGTTCCAGTTTGTCAGTGTCCTTCTTGAACTGTGGTGCCCAGAACTGGACACAGTACTCCAGGTGAGGTCTGACCAGAGCAGAATACAGTGGCACTATTACTTCCCTTGATCTAGATGCTATACTCCTATTGATTGCATGATTTCTGAATTCTTGCTTTGTGAGGATAGATAGGTAGTCTTCTGATTCTATTTTGATGTATTTATGTTTTAAATAGATTATTTGGTTTTTTATCTTTTATTTATGCATATTGTCTTGAGAGATGTTATGTAGCACATAGGTTATTATTAGCCATGGCAGCAATTTCACTAAATGTGGAATATATATATGTGTGTGTTGTGTGTTATATATGTTATATATATTTGCTATATTTATATATAAAATTACATTGCAACCCAAAGTCCTCTAATGTTGGCTCCATCCAGCAGCACCATCTATAATATCATGAAGTTTTAATCTAAAATTAATGTCGTGATGACCATCAATTTATTTTGTGGCATGGATTAATAAAATGTCCATTGAACCTGAGTTGTATCCAACTAAGTTCTACATAGAATAGACCTAATAAAGTTAATGGATTGTAGTCAACAAAATCATACTCAGAGTAAACCTACTGAAATTAACAAACCTACATTAGTCATGTCTATTAAATTCAGTGTGTCTATGCTGAGTTGAACTAACATTGAATAACACCCAAAGCACCTAAGTTAATTGTGTCCATTAATTTCAGTGGGTCTACTCTAAGTATGACTAACACTGGATACAACTCCTTATATATTTTAAATGCATAATAAACATTTGCATCAGAGTTTTATTGCACTTGCTTTGCCACTTCTGAAAACACAACAAAAACAGCTTGTCATGGAAACAAATGTGTCTTCTGATCAAACCACAAAGTAATTCCACTGGCTTATGCCCATCAGCTGTTTGGGCTTCAGGAAACATATAACACCTAGGAAGTGTGGCCATTCTTTTACAGATTTCCTTTACAGTGAAATTAATGTATGCCCCAGTGTAACAGCTGTCTTTCATTTATCTGATTTTTATTAAAGCTGAAGTATGCCAGTTCTGATTAACCGACTTAAAAATATATATATTCCTTCTCACTTTTTAATTCCATTCTCTTGGAGTGGTCCCCTCTCCTGTATTACAGCGTAATGTAAAAACACCCAGAAGCTAGTACCCTTAGAACAAAGCCTCTTTGAACATCAGTCAACTCCTATGGTTTGAGATCATGCACTGAAGAAAGTCATATATGAAAGGCCAGTCTCCTATGTAATAGGTTTCCTTTGAGACTCAAAACTTTAGTAAAGTCCTAGTTCATGATGAATGAAAGAGCAAAATTCCACTTTCGAACTAGATTGCCCAGAAGCCTGTTTCTCAGGAACTTTCCAGTGTGTGTCCAACTCTGAATAGACAGAAATAAGAGCCAAATATATCACCAGTGACATTCAAGTAAACCCATGTTAGAGATTAATTCATTTTGTTTAATAGCCACAGTGCTTGAAATAACATGTAACTCCCAAATATCCTCAAGCACAGTCTATGTAGGAAACTGGTGGATTTTACATATAGTTTTGCCACTTAATCAATAATTATTTGCAGCTACTCATGAAATTCTCAATCCGTCTCCCAAGTGTAGTGACACCATCCATCATCCTTTTTGTAGACACACTGATTTCTGTCAATTGCCTGGACAAAATGGTTTGTGTAGAGCATGAGCACTGCCGCCCCCTAATATTGTCCTTTTCTTGGAAATTGTGTTGTCATTTATGATTTTACAATGGTTTTTTTTTACAATTACTGAAATCATTTTGATTGATAAGGTACTTGTGGAATGCCTAGGTTGAAGATCGGTCATGAGGAATTTCAGCAGTGACAAAGAGGAAAAACAGGACACCTTGGTAGGTAAAACATTTATCCTTTCTTAACAATGGTAGATCAAGACTTTAATCTTGGAAAATAGTGAGTAGGAAGAGTTAGCTTGCTTTGTATGAATTTACTGTATAAAATATTTTGCAAAATCATTAAGTCCAATGAAAGTAAGTCCAATGCAAAGTGAAATACATAATGCCCAGCTTATTTACAACTGGTTGCCTGCATTGCTCTGTGGTGCATAAATACTTTTCCTTGTAGACTTCCTCCACCCTCAGTAGAGGTCCCCCCCCCCAGGTGTATACTAGATGAGGCCAGAGAAATGTTCCATATTATTATATCCCCATGGGGGGGAGGCTGAGGGGGCCATCAACCTGGGCGCAGTTGGGGGGGGGACACATCATGGTGCCCTGCCCCATCGTGAGCGTTTGTGTCCTTATCTTCGCCCTCCAGCTGGGGGGCAGCTGAGAAGGACGCAACAGGCATGCGCCCTGGTCCCTGCGAGTCCAGTGCAGCTTTTGCCAGCAGTGCTATGCTTGCAGGGGCCAGGGCATGCAACTGCTTGTGGCACCCCATATATATAAAATTTCCCATTGAAGAAAATGAGTGGTAAATTCTTTATGGCAATTCTTGAGCTGGTGTAAAAGTTGCACCATCAAGGAGATTGAAGGAGTACAGTATAAAGCATAAGTTTCTTTCTCCACCATGCTATGTTCACTCTGCCAATGTATGAGGGTTGTTCTGAAAGCGTTAGCATGTAAATGCTAAATCTACTGTTCCGCCAGCGTAGTGGAGCCTCCTAAAGCCCCTCAGCTAGCATAACTCTAGGATAAGATTGGACTCCAATGTATGGTCTTAAGATTGCAAAAGCTTGTGGCATTTTGAAATGAGCTTTGAAAGGTTTTTAAAACTCAAAACGGCTGGTGCTTCAGGACATGAATCATCCTGCAATCCCTAAGGAGGATTTTGTAGCATCTTTAATATGTAAATGATCCATCCAATCTATGCTTGATGCTCTGCGTGTGGCACTCTCTGACAATTACACTGTAAATGCAAGGGCTGGGCAGTTACAGCCCAGATCTGGTTTAGAGCCTGACTGGGCAACCTCAGATTAGGTCTGATCTGAGCCCCAAACCAAATTGGGGACTTGCAGAGCCCTAATCATCTAGTTTAGGGCTTCCAGCCCAAATTAAACATGCAGTTGGTATCAAGGAAAGAGGGAGACAAGGGGATGCAGGCAAAGACTCTCCCCCTGTGTGTTCAATCAAGGTTCTAAACTCTAACTCAACATGCAGTTGGCAGGGGGAGGACAGGTAAGAGTCTCTGCCTGTATCTCCTCCTTTCCTCCCCCACCATCAATGACATGTTCAATTAGGGTTCAAAACATATGCTTGCCACCCCCATTTTGTTAGCCTCAGATCGTTCTGCGTGGACCCAGCCTGACCCAAGGTGATCTGGGGCTGCCTTAATATGCTCCTAGCAAATCCCAAATGGGCTTGATTCAGTTGGGGATCATGGATTTGTCCAAAGTTGATGCACAGCCGTAGCAAATAGCTATGGGAGGAAAAATAAAACAAACTAGGCAACATGACTGCTGCTAATCAGCACTTAGCTGAGTACAGCAGTATGTAGACATTTGATCTGGGTTCGGGAGGGTGATATCCAGGAATTTCTTCAGCCAGAGTTGGCAACCCTACCTAGCTGGAAAAGGATTTTCAGGATTGTGATGTTTGCTTCATATTGAGGTGAGTCTTACAAACCTTTCTTGGTTTGTCATCCAAGCTGCGCTCTGATAATACTACTTCAGGTGTTCAAAATGATCCTTTCATATTGTGAAGTATAGTAGAAAGCTATCATATACAACAGAGTTATGATTCAGCAAAATAATTATTTATTCTTTTCATATCAAATTCTGAATATTGATACTGCAGATTTTTGGGCCTGCAGGCAGCTTATGACACTACATGGAATCTCATTTACATTTAAGTCTTGTTCTTAAATATCACTTCACTTTTTATATAATGAGTAGCTGAAAAAAACTACATTTCTGCCTATGCTTCACCATGTCTTTTTAGATGCTTTTTCTCTGCCTTATTCATCATAGAATCTAGCAGCATATTTCCCAAGTTTTGAAACTCCTCAAAGGGATGAATAATTGTCAGATGCTTCTCATTATCCATATATTCAACATTTCCAAACTTTCCCAAGACAATTTCATTGTGTAGCACTTGAAGTAAGCTGAAGTTAAAAGTATGCCACGGCAATGATTTCATAATACTACTTGACAATATGAGATAATGTGCACTTTATGTTGCTTATATTCTTCACACAAAATACCTGTGACATTTCATTCCTGAATGTGTTTGGATGAGCAATACACGCAAGAAACTGGAAGTAAGTGAAGTGTACTGTTAAGACTGGCAAAATATACACACACACCACAACTGAGAGATAGCTCAGTCAGTAGAGCATGAGGCTCTTAATTTCAGGGTTCTGGGTTTGAGCCCCACATTGGGCAAAAAGATTCAGGAGGAGGTTGGACTAGATTACTCTTGTGGTCCTTTCCAACTCTGTGATTCTAAAGTGACTGTGGATGGCATTTATCATCTTCTAAACACCATGGTGTTTCTTCTCTCTGCGCTACTCCCAGCAGTCATTCCTCCTCTGGTCATTGCTATGGACACACAACCTGTCTGTCTGTCTGTCTGTCTGTCTGTCTGTCTGTCGGCTCTGTGGTCATCTGCAAGGGTTTCCCACAGGATGGGGCTGATGTTGCGAGCCTTCCTGTCATGTTTTCGGACATCTTTGTATCACAGAGTCGGTCTGCCAATGGGCCTGGTGCCTGAAACCAGCTCCCTGTAGACTCTTCCATTCTGTGGACACGACCAAGCCAGTGTAGATGTCACTGAGACAGGAGTGTGAACATGTGGACTTGAGAGAAAACATCTTTGTTTGGAATTCTGTTCTGCCACATGATACCCAAAATCCTCCTGACGTAGTCCATGTGGAAGACGTTGAGGCCGTCACTCTTGACGGTTGTAAGTTGCCCACGACTCACTTCCATAAAGCAGTGTGCTCAGCGTGCAAGCCTGGTAGACCATCTTGGTACATGCACACATTCACCACAAGTAGGATGTGGTTCGTGACTGTAGCCACCACTGAGTGTAGTGGAAAAATTCATTAGGAAACTAGTATAGAAAGAATGATGGTGAAAGCAAAAATAGATGTCGCAGCAGCAGACAGCTAAACCACACATTGCTGATGGCAATCAAAATAACACATGTGGATTGAGACTATTCAGCATTTAGTGTTTTTTATTCCAAGCCTGCCAGCAGTCACATCAATGACGGCAACCACATCATCGGTGCAGACATTCTTTCCCTGCTTGCACTAACAGAAATGTTATCTATAAAATATCTTGCATTTTGTACCAAATGTAGCATATGGTACCATACAAAGTTATTTAAATACTGTGAGATGAAGTGTCAGTTAAGAGAGACTGACAGGTGAATACATCTGTCAATGTCAGTGTTTCTCCAGAACTCAAAGACTTAAACAAACTTTTAAAAATGCATTTTAAAATAACTGCAGGCTTAATTTTCTTGTTTGTGCTGTTCCTTAAAAAAAAAAACAGACTTATGAAATCTTGGGTTGGTTTTTTGAATTTTTTTTTACAAATATCTACAGGTGTTCTTGTTTGCTTTTGGATGATCTCTTCAGTGATTTAATTTTAACCATTTACTGTTTACAACATCATAGGTGTTTCCATGGTAACAAGTTATGGTGCTATTAACATATAAATGGAACATCCCAGATGTATCATGGCATATACAGATCAAATTAATAAGTACATTTTTATTCCCACCTTTCTTCCACAGTTGAACTCAAGACAAGCATAGTTGACATTCCCAAGAGGTCTCCCATCTCAGCCCAGACCAAACACAGGCCTGCTTAGCTTCAGCATTATGTGTCCTCAGACTAGGATCATGAACTGTGACCGTGAGTAGGTATTTTTCTTTGAAAAGGGAATCAAGACACAATTGCTCTCATTAGTGAATATTTGAATACTGTATTGGTTCTAACTTCTTTAATATATTTTTTAAAAACCCTCAAATGTGAGCATTAATTTTATCATTTAAAATCAGTATAAGTACTCTCCGTTTGAGCCACCTTTAGTTATGTAGGCTTGCATTTAGGAATTTGTGTTTTGGGGATAAATTTATAGATGTTTCATGGTGTTAAACTGAATTTTGTATGTACTATTAATTGGAAGTTCTCAATTATATATATTAATCTGTATTTGGTCCATGTCATTCGCATAAGCTTACTTGAAAATCTACCATCTTGTTTCTGCTGGGAAGGATCACATATAAATATGTATTTTATGCAAACATTTATGCAGAATTTCTCCCTCAGACTATGCATTTCTAAACAGAGAGGCAGAACTATGTTACAGCATTCAGAAAAAATACAATGAATAGATGTGTACTGACCTTCACATTAGTCCAAGAGGTACAGATAAGGTCAGTTCAGTTCTGCTAACCCAGAAATAGTACCTCAGGTTAAGAACTTTGCTTCAGGATGAGAACAGAAATCGTGCGGCGGCAGCACAGCGGCAGTGGGAGGCCCCATTAGCTAAAATGATACCTCTACCTCAGGTTAGGAACAGTTTCAGGTTAAGAACGGACCTCCAGAATGAATTAAGTTCTTAACCCGAGGTACCACTGTAGTCACCTTTGACTGGACTTAACTGTCCAGGGTTCCTTTACCTTAACTTTACCTTTATATAGATAGTGCTTTGCACCTTCATAACATTTCTTTTTCTTTTCTTTTTTTGAGTCTGTGAAGCTTAAAAAGTATATGTTTTCCTTTTTATGCTTTCCTTTTGTTTCAGCTTTAGTAGCAGAGAAAAAGGTTGCAATCTGCAAACAGGATGTTAGCAATTTAAGCCTTATGCTTTGGAAGTGCAAGATGCTTGACTTAAATTAAACTGTCACTGACAGCATACGATTTCAATTCAAAGCGATGCCCAAACATTGGGATCAAGTTGACCTGTAGAGCTGTTTGGCAGATTTTTCTTTATAGCATAGGTTTTCTCTTGGAGTGTCCTCTGTTAAGTAGACATTCTATTTTTGAGAGCTGTTAGGGCTGTGATTGTGAGTGCAAACCTTATCAGGTGAAATAAAATCTATATGTAATTATGCTCATGATATTGCTTGATGCATATCTAAGGGGTGATCAGATGTTACAATTATGGACACAGAAGGAAGTAGCGTGGTAGAATAAAGCAGATGGTTGTAGGCACAGCGCTCTTAATATCACTTTACCATTTGTGACCAGGAAACTGTGGCCAGTAATTGGAAGATAGACAAAAATGCCTCGTACCTGGCAGCCACCTGACTGCAGCATTTGTACTAGTTGCAGTTTTTGGACACTTTTCAAGCATAGCCTAGTAATGTGGTTCTTTGGATCCAACCCATTATTCGTATATTTAGATGTACAATTGGTTTTATCTTTTCCAAAAACATTTATCCGTTTTTCCTTTCTTTCTTTGGGAAAAATAAAATGATGTCGGAAATAAATACAAAATGGAATCAAATACAATGAAATGGTGAACATTTTGAAGAAAGAAAGGAATCCATTTGTCTTCTAATACAATTCTTTGTAATAATAATATGAGACATCATTTAGTCATTTATAGAAATAGAATGATGGTTTTTTTAAAGTGAAAAGTTTGAACTGATTTATGAGCCTTTAAATAGAAGTGTGAGTAGGAGTACAAGCTACGGGGTAAGGAGAAAGAGAGGAATATGAAATAATCCTCTTTTATATCAAGCACACATTTTGAGTGGAACTTTGCCTGACCTGTGAACTCAGCTGGGCACACTTAGCTGAAAAGTATTAAAAAGCGTATTGTTTCTTGCTCACTTGTTAATTAATTGAAACATCTGTTACCCTGGTTGTATATGCTTAATCACTGGTGTCCATGGAATTAGAAACCTACCCCTTACAATTCCATTTTTTAGAGTTTCCCACAGCTTTCTGTGGCTATTAGGGGTGTGCATTTGGTTGATACAAGTCCCAAACTGATGGAGGTTGCTTCAGAGGCATTCAGGGTCTTCCCAAAGCTTTTGGATTGATTTTGCAAAAAAGAGATATATTGTTGCACACCAGTGTTCAGGTTCCTTGAAATGAAGGAGAACAGAGAGTGTGATATTTATGATATATAGTTTAATTACACATATATACAACCTGTGCCTATGATCACAGACTAGAATCAGAGTTGGAAGGGACCCCAAGGATCATCTAGTCCAACCCCTGCAATGCAGGAATCTCAGCTAAAGCACTGTGTGTGCGTGCATGCACGCAGGTGCCATCTAGTCCAGGATATTGTCACAGTGGCCAACCAATTGCCTTTGGAAGTCTGCAAGCAGCACTGGGGGGAGCAGCACTCATTCCACCTGCAATTCCCGGCAACTGGTATTCAGAGGCATACTGCTTCTGACAGTGCAGGTGGAACATAGCTGATGGAGGTAGAATATAGCCAGGACTTTGTCCTCCCTTCACTTCTGCGAGGATGCAAACCATTCTGCAGAGGGAGGGCACCTGCTATAAATATTGAAAAGGTTTTCTTGCACGTGCTGAAACTCACTTGGGATCAGGAGGCCGTTCCCTCAGGGACCGTTTTAATGTGGATGATCCCTGTTCAGTTTGTAGCATCTTCATTCAAGCATTTCAGATAGCAGGGCTAGGAAACATCTGTGTCTAGACTCTTGGCAGAAAGCTGTTGCCAATGTGATGTAATCGTACTGTACCGGATGGGCCAAAGGGCTGACACAGCATAAGCCATCTTCACAGGTTCATATACTGCAGCAGCAACTCCTTGATTGTGTGTGCGCACCTTTCCCTTCTCTATGCCCTAAAGAATGGAAGAAAGAAAGCAGCATGCAATTATGTGACATTTAAGAGGAGAGCAGAAAGAAGCTGAAATTTCTGAGTGGGTTTCCCTCAATTTTGTCTCCTTCCCTTGCCTTTCTTGACACTATGTAGGATTGTCTAACAATCTAAGGAATTGACAGCAGGAGATGAGAGAACTAAAGTGTATCCATTAATAAAAATGTGGAGGTGTGGCTGACTCAGATCTCTCCACTGCAGAGAGATGCGCGCAGGCACACACACACACACACACACACACACAGAGCAGCTGAGGATCCCAAATCTATGACAACAAACTATTCTGTATGAACAGCCGCCAGTGATTTTACCTTTTCTCGCCCCACCCAAGCTATCATGCTAGTCTGCATATTGTCTCTCTCATCATCTGACTTGGTGTATATGGTAAGTTGCCAGTCCCATATCCCTCTTCACTGCGTGTGCGCGCGCACACACAAACACACCACATCAGCCAGATCTTGAGAAAGGCTGACATGCTTACCAATACAAAGTGCAGCACTGGAGGCTCAACCCAATGCATATTTATTTGGAAGTTTATCTACCTGTGTTCAGTGGGGCTTACCCCAGGTGACTGCACATGGGAATTCAGCCTTAGAACACTATTCACATACTATTCGTACCTCGTCTGCCTTATATGAAACAATAATCTTTATATCGTAACATCAACTCCTCCTGCATGCTTTTATCTCATTGACCAGATATGCAGCATCCCACATCATAGGTCCATGGTGTTGGAAGGGACCTCAAAAGCCATCTAGCCTAGTCCCCCACCTATGCTGGAAATCTACTGCCAAAGGCCCATATTATCCAGCATTCTGTTCTCATAGCAACCAACCAGCTGCCTATGGAGCAGAGTGCAAACTCCAAGAAAGGGGAGGCCACTATTTTCCAAGGCCATCTGCTCCAGCATTCTAGCATGGGAAGCTGTTTCCAGTGTTCAGTCAAAACACCCTCTCTCAAAATTTAAACCCATTGAAACAACAGAAAATAGTTTGGTATCATTTCATGATTGCCTCTTCTCTAGGCTAAACATACCAACCCCCTTAAGCCTTTCTTCATAGGACTTGGCCTCCAGGCCACACATCATCTTCACTACTCTTCTGTGCAGATGCTCCATTTTGTCTATATCCCTCTTAAACGATGGTGCTGTTTAACTTGCAGTCTGCTAAAGCACACACACAAAATTTAGTTACTCCTACCAAGCCAACTAAGGATGCGGGTGGCTCTGTGGTTTAAACCATCAGGTCGGCGGTTTGAATCCCCGCGATGGGGTGAGCTCCCGTTACTCGGTCCCAGCTCCTGCCAACCTAGCAGTTCGAAAGCACGTCAAAGTGCAAGTAGATAAATAGGTACCACTCCAGCGGGAAGGTAAACTGCTCTGGTTCACCAGAAATGGCTTAGTCATGCTGGCCACATGACCCGGAAGCTGTACGCCGGCTCCCTTGGCCAATAAAGCGAGATGAGCACCGCAACCCCAGAGTTGGCCACTACTGGACCTAATGGTCAGGGGTCCCTTTACCTTTACCAAGCCAACTATCACCAGATATGTGACCATTCATAAAACACCTTTGCTACAAAAGATGGATTTATTTATCAATGGGCAAACCCATGCTCTGCTGCATGCAGCAGGTGTACCTGTATAGTAGAATGGGGGGAGCAATCCAGAATGATACACTGAATGTTGCCTCCTCCTCTCTGTCTTCTCTAGCACCTCCGACATCATGTGATCAGCAAATTCAACCCTGATGATCCAATACTTCCAGGACACATGCGTTTGGTTGCCTGTATGAGACAAATTCCACAGGAGCTCCCTCTAAGCAAAGTTTTCAGGAAGACAAGATGAAAGCTGGCCGTATCTGCACATAACTGTATAGAAGCATATTGGTTGGCAAATATCTATTTCTATAGCAAATCAAAATGTTTATGGTATCCTCTATTTATAATTCATAAAGTGGAGAAAAAAACGCTCTCAGCATCAAATATTTATGATGAACTGTTCAACCAGAACTACATACAAGTCTCTTTTGCATATTGTATTTTCAGCACAGTTGTAACACTGATATTATAGCCATTTCACTTCAAATCCTAATAATAGTGTGATGTACTTCTTCATCAAAACCATGCACACAAACACAGGCTTTTAATAAGATTTAAACTACACATGGTGCTACACATAAAGTTTCCCCCCTTGCTTTTTTGTTTTGTGAAGTGCAGCCAGAATAACTAAAAACTAAAGTGGAAGACAGGCATGATTTTATTTTGAAGTCTTTACACTTCTACCTTTTATATCTACCCCTACAGAGTAAATTTCATCTGAGGGAGCTGGACTTATTGGGGAAAATAGAAAAGGGAGAAAGGGCCAAGACATTCCATCGCTTTCTCCTCACACCAGTTTTCTGCTTTCCCCTTTTTCTTTTCTTTTTTTGAAACATCAGTAACTCTGCTATGTAGAAAGGAAAGATATCCCAGACAAACTACAAATGACCGAGCATTTTATGGGGCTAAGTGCTTGTAACCATAGATACTAGTACAGCCAACACACACCAGATCATGTTGTTTCCATTGGAGTGATGGAAAAGTGAATTGATTTTTTAAAAAAAAACATATCTGTTACATACCAATACTGGGGCTCGGTTTTTCTGGCTCTATATCTTTCTACTTTTCTTTTCTTCTGAGACGTGGTGCTTCCCCAAGTAGTCTCCCTCAGTGAAATAGTCAAAAAGCACTCCTAAATCAGGAAAGATGTTTTGAGCACAATCTTATATTTGATTTCTGCTTCCTGAGGGGGTGCAGGTTTTGACAGAAGCCCCATTACTCCAGTGGAACTTGAAATACACACCAGCATGAAATATATTCCTGGTGGAAAAGGGTATGTCCTGAAAGGCCTCCCCACTTGTTATCTAGGGACTAGGGCTAAGCCCTTTCCCCAGTAGACTGGCTATAGAGATACAGGGAGTGTTGTGTGTGAGAGAGTATGTTCCTCTCTTTGAGAGTTCATTTTCTCCCTCTAAGGGAGTGGAATATGGGCATCAGGGCTGGCACCCAGTGCTTGATTAGTGGGCCCTGGCAGAGTTTCAAAGGACACTGGAGTCACACCTGCCTTTTGAGGCTGTATTTGCTGGCTGTGTGGTTTTTGTTTCCCCTCCCCAGCAGAAAACATATCAGGTACAGCTGCCATACATCTGACAGAGCAGAGGTGTTTCTCTCCCTCCACTCCTGATATAACTGGTGTGCAGAATTACTCTGAGAAAGATGCACTTTCAGCAAAATCTTACAAATAAAATACAGTGGGATATGTGGTACTGCTAAATTTCCCAAGAATCAATAGTTTACATTAAACAGTGATTTGCATGTGCAAAAAAGTTTTGTAAAATAATTCATATTCCACTGAGTCATTCTTCTTTCCAGTTGTAGAGAACTTTAAAGAGGGTGGATATGTTGAATTTAGCTGTGATCTTAAAGTGCTCCATCACCACAAACCAATAAAATAGGAGCAGCACAATGCTTTGAAGAATGTGGAATTAGGGAATATGTTCCAGGACTAAAATTGCTTGTATTTGAGTCTCATTAAAGTTGATGGAACATAAGAATACAGCTAAATGCTTAACTGTATTGCTGAAGTACATTGGAACATTGATTGCTATATATTTAGTTAGTGATTTCTCACCTTTTCTTTAAAAAATCAAGTCAGTTGAACTTAGAAAGCTGTTTTATACACACACACACACACACACACACACACACATACATATATATGAGGGTGAAAAAGGAGAGTGCAAAATATGGTCTGAAGCTCAACATCAAAAAAACTAAGATCATGGCCACTGGGCCCATCACCTCCTGGCAAATAGAAGGGGAAGAAATGGAGGCAGTGAGAGATTTCACTTTCTTGGGCTCCATGATCACTGCAGATGGTGAAAAGCAGCCACAAAATTAAAAGGCGCCTGCTTCTTGGGAGGAAAGCAATGACAAACCTAGACAACGTCTTAAAAAGCAGAGACAACAAAAGTCCATATAGTTAAAGCTATGGTTTTCCCAGTGATGATGTATGGAAGGGAGAGCTGCACCATAAAGAAGGCTGATCGCCAAAGATTTGATGCTTTTGAATTATGGTGCTGGAGGAGACTCCTGAGAGTCCCATGGACTGCAAGAAGATCAAACCCATTCATTCTTAAGGAAATCAGCCCTGAGTGCTCACTGGAAGGACAGATCCTGAAGCTGAGATTCCAATACTTTGGCCACCTCATGAGAAGAGAAGACTCCCTGGAAAAGACCCTGATGTTGGGAAAGATGGAGGGCACAAGGAGAAGGGGATGACAGAGGACGAGATGGTTGGGCAGTGTTCTCGAAGCTACCAGCATGAGTTTGACCAAACTGCAGGAGGCAGTGGAAGACAGGAGTGCCTGGCATGCTCTGGTCCATGGGGTCACAAAGAGTTGGACACGACTAAATGACTAAACAACAACAACAAATATAGGGCTTCCCCCAATCCTCTGGAACACATTTTGTGGGGGCATACAGAGGAGGGAAAGTTCAGTTTAGCAAGTAGAAGCTATTCTGTGAACAAAATAACTTCATTGGATTCAACCCCCAAACAAAAGTTTGAACATCAGTCAAAATCTTTCTATAAGACAAACATCTGTCCTTGACTCTTGAAGACCAAAACTTGAGAGTCTACCACTGGAGGTCATTCTTCTTGTCCTAAATGAAATTATGAGGCAGAGGTTTTATACAGGGAGAAACATTCCAAAAGATAGGTTGAACCAGCATGCATCTCAAATGTGTGAGATCATGCACATGGCGTGTGTGTGTGATGTCATGCATGCGATGTGTGGCGCTTGCACAATATTGCATCATCGGGAGGAGGCAGAGCGCGGAGCCCAGCACAGTGCAGCTTCCTTTCTCATGCTAAGGAGGAGCCAGCCACTGAATCTTGCCACGCTTGGCTCCACACTCAGCCTCCTCAAGACTGAGGGGGCCAAAGACACCTCTGCTCCTAGGAATTGGTGTGTTTGCACAAGCTAAGGATTCCCAGATCAAATGCTAATTTTATATGCCTTTATGTTAGGGGCACTTTATTGCACTGTGTTTTTAAGACATGAACCTTGCTTCTCTTAAAACTATACTTCCAAAAGTAGTAATGGAATCTTTTTGAGTAAGATAGTTCTGTAAGATATAAACGATGCTTTTTCATGAGAAAACTCCTTTGGGATGAATGAGACGTACTCATGTGTAAGTGTGTGCAGCCAGCTAAATCAGAGTTTATTGGTAAGCGTCAGCAATTATGAGGCCCTAATTCCTGTATTAGTCAATAAGTCTCCTGCGGGGCAATCTAATTAGCTCAAACTGCTATGATGAAATCATACAACACATACTGTAACTTGACTTCTTTATGAACAAAAATACCAAAAGAAGGAAATCACTATGTAATATTTTACATTAAAATCATCTAGTGTTCGTTTGCTTGCACTATAAATTTTAGCATAAGCTTACAACCTTGACTTTATTAATATACTTTAAGCATTTTAAATGTAGGCATAGTACCTCTTGGAAGCTGCTTTCTGGTGGCTTCCAATTTTTCCCAGAATGTACTGGAATGATATATCCTAGGTATTCTGGGGAGATAAGAGACAGCCACCTAGGGGACTTTCACTGCCACTGTCAGAATGTAGTTACAGGAAGGTAGCCGTGTTGGTCTGCCATAGTCGAAACAAAATAAAAAAAATCCTTCCAGTAGCACCTTAGAGACCAACTAAGTTTATTATTAGCTTTCGTGTTCATGCACACTTCTTCTTATCTGAAGAAGTGTGCATGCACACGAAAGCTCATACCAATAACAAACTTGGTTGGTCTCTAAGGTGCTACTGGAAGGAATTTTATTATTTTGTTTCGACTGTCAGAATGGTTGGCAAAATAAAAGAAGAGTAACATGCACTGACTTAATGCCTGAAACTCCCACCCCCCAAAAAACATTTTTGCAACTGCTGCCCCTGAGAAAAACAAAACACCAAACTTAGCCTCTAATTTTCTATCTGCAAATGGTGTAGCATTTATGAAATAGTTGCATCACTATCATTCAATTACAGTTTGTTATCTGCCTCGCTCCTATTCCCTCCCCTCACTTTGGTAATATAAAACAGGCCCATTCCTCATGCAGTCCATCCAAGCAGTGGCATCTATTTACTAATCCTGTGGTTCTCTAGATGGACTAAAGCATGAAATGGTAAGGACTGGGCCTCTGAGGACCTTAGAAACAGGGAGTGTTTTTTGCTTGGTGTACATAACAAAATGTGCTGTGTGTGAGAGAGAGAGGGGGGGGAGGGAGGGAATCATTTGCACTCAGTTCAACAGGACATATTCCCAGATAAATGTGTGCAGGACTGTAGCCGCAGACACACAACAAACATCACAGCAACCAGAGCTTCTGGCAAGGAAGGAGGCAGCCTAGAGCTTTCCTGTTTCTTTTCCCTCCCAAATCCCAATTGTCAGGACTTTAAACAATTGCTGCATCCTTTCTTAGAGAACAAATATCACCCCTGATAAGATGATGTTTAAAGCTGCTCACTGACACATCCCCTGTCATACAACAATCCTGCTTTTGTCCCAGTTTGACTTCTTCCTTGACCAATTAAATCCAGCAGGATTCATAGCCTCTCATCAATCCTTCCCAGAGACTATTTTTCACAAGCTATCCTAACTCCCCTAAAACAACAATTTAATGGGCCCAACATCCCTCAAGATGTTGCTGATTTATTGAAGACCAGATATTTTACCAAGGTCAATTTTTCCAAGACAGATGAAAAGCACCAGGGAAACTGCTCATGTTTCAGCTCTTGGTGAAGCAACAGCAACAGTTAACCCACAGCATTAAGCCAACCCACCAGCAGCTCCACTGGTTTCCAAGCAACTGAAGATGCCTCATCTGTCCCCATAACACCAGGTCTGAGCCTCCAAGCC